ACACAAGTGAGAAGAGGAAAGGTGCCAACTTACTTGCTCCAGGGGAATCACAGCATCATTTTCAGCAAAAATGAACAACGTGGGGTTCTTCAAACTGTAAACATCTTCAGAATCCTTGACGATGCCTGAAAGATGGGTTCAGGGGCATGACACTATGATTTCCACAGTCACGCCCCAGAAAACTGCCTCAATTTGGTTTGATTATTCAAAGTAAAAATGTACTTGGGGGGCTTTGTTTATTTTTTGGCAGTTCCACAGTAGTGGCCTGGCCTACACAATTAGTGTAACAGGGGGACTCGTCCAGCCAGACCTGGCCCTCCGGCTCACTCACTAGAAGTGAAGCCATCAAGGTGTGGAATCAGGCCTTGCAGGCTGCTCCGTGAAGACRCAGAGGGTCTAACGAGTATCCCTCCTGGGATATTCTTGCACAGAAGTGAGAGCTGCCAAACCACTGTTCTGGAAGTTTCCCTCTGCCCACCCAAGTCCCACAGGTTCTGACTTCAATGCACCCGGTGGTTTAGAATGGGCCTTTACGCTCAGACAAGCCCACAGCCTGCGACCGCCTAATCCTAGCAAGTCATTCTCTGAAAAATTAGTTTCCCCCCTTGACTCGGAAGGTTAGAGACTGATCAGTCAGAAACATGCTCCGCCCAGCCCAGGGGTTCTAGACAACCCTCAGGAACGCCCACTTCTGTGGAGAAAGAAGTCAACCTAAGTTATCATTTTAAAAGAGAAAAAAATAATCTTTTTCAACTTCGTGACAGCAGCACAGCAAAGCTATGTGGCTGGACAGCAGCTGAAAGTACCCTGGACTCGCCCCCACCAGGCTCAGCAGCTCACGGTAACTCACAGCAGCAGCCAGGAGGTGGCGCCAGTGAGGCGTCCACACAGGCACCTTCTGCWAATTCACACAAAGGCACCTTTGGGCCTAACAAGAGGTGGCCCGGTGCTCTAGCCCAACTGGTCATTTACTGAGTCTGCTTTCTTTCGTAGAAGTTAATATTTAAAGAGTTTTTTTTTAATGCCAAATGTAGGTGAAAATACTACAGTGAGGAACCATTAAGCCAAATAAGAATCRTTGGTACAGGTATTACTTCATGACACTCTGATGTAAAGAACTTGGTGACACACTAGTATAATT